TAAGGTAAAGATTATACATGACAAATAATATGGATGCTGAATGTGAGAGAGGTGCTACTTCATTATCCATGATTTGCGATCTAAAAGAGAAGTAGAGTTCTAAAGAAGAGAAAGAGAGGAGGAGAGAGAAAAAAAATTTGTTGAAGGATAAGAATTTCGCCTCGCTCCTGTGGTTTTATACCTGACTGTTGCGTTGCCTTATTATCATAATACAGTACCTCTCGACAAAATTTTACAAAACTAAACCAACTTCTCACTTGGAATTGGAAATTTTCACAAAATATTATGCTTTTCTCTGAATTTTATTTTTTCTTTATTTTTTGAAAAATGATGAGGCTGAAGTCTTTTTAAAAGTTTCGATATTTCAGTATATTAGTAGAGCTTTTCTCCCTCGAAAACTCAAATATATTTTTCATAATTACGATGAGACTATTCTTCCATATATTCTCCGGCTATTTTATTTTTTAAACTTTCCAAGTTCATATATATTTCCACCTACACATCCACAAGATCATATTTCAATTAAACGCATAAAACATAAAACGCATATTTACGATCCACCAATTTTATATTAAAAAACAAGAATAAAATAAAAATATATGTAAATTTAATACCCGTTTTCTAAAAAATTTCTCGATATTAGTTTAAATTTCAAATCAAACTCTTTCTTGATATTATTATGTTAATTTGGATCTTTTTCTTATTCCTTTTTTGCGAAACGAAACGTGGTGAAGATGAACAATAATCGTCGTGTGAATATAATTAATTATTTTTCAATGTGACAAAATATTTAAAATAAACACATTTTTATATATATTCAAAAAAAGAAAAAAAGAAAGGTATGAGAAACAGATGAAATGCCTACACACAATTGTATGAATCGGGGTATTTAACGTATCACGCATAGTCGTGATATGTGATATTCGTTCGCGCAACGTGAATAGGACAACGCAACGCGCGGGATGAACATATATTTTATTTAATTTATTATAGTAACACCTGCACTATTTATAGAAGAGAAAGATAACTATCGTATACATGGCAATCCTCTGTATCATGCTAACAGCAGGTAATCTCCTCTCTGCGACCAAAAATCGAAGAAATTTCTTAGTGCGAATATACAACTTTGTCATTGTCATCAGATTATGATCGCAGTGCTTTTTTGTTTGTTTACTAAAATGTTGCAATCAACACTTTTAAGCTACATTGATAGTTAATTTTTGTTTATGATTTTCATTATGTTTTAGATGCAACAACTGTTGGTATAGTAAACGATACTTTACCAACAGTTGCTGCATCTAAAACATCATCAAAATCATCAACAAAAATCCAAGTATCAAGTTAATTTTTGTTGATGATTTTCATTTAGTGATGAATTTTAGTTATAGAAATTGTAGAAAATTTCATAAAGATGTTTTGGATGCAGTTACTATATTGGTATAGTAAATGATACTATGCCAACAGTTACTGCATCCAAAACATCATTATGAAATTCTCTACAATTTCTATAACTAAAATTCATCACTAAATGAAAATCATCAACAAAAATTAACTTTCGATGAAGTGAAGTGTTGATTCACTCTAAAAATTATTAGATACTCAAAAAAAATGTTCTATTACATTTCTTTACGAATTTTTTTACTTGTAAAATTATTCAAAAACCTCAATAACTTTTTTTAAAATAAATATTTAATCATTATTATTTTTCCATCGGAACTAAGATTTTCAAAATTTCTAATTCAAACCTTTTGAAATTCAATAACTTAAATAAGTATTATTATAAAACAAGAAGAAACAGAGTGATAAAATCATATTTTTTTAATAAATAAAAATGTTTTTACTGCGTAACTTCTTCAAAATTGTTTTTAGAATTTTAATTCAATTATTATTTTCTACAATTTTTAAATAAATTTCTTCCTTAAATTATTTATTTTTAATAATTTTTGATAAAGTTCTTTTAAGAATTTTCAAATTCATTTGTTTATACAATTCAATTTTGAGAAATTTCGATTATTCGGAAATGATTCAATTAAATATATACTTTAGAAATTAAAAACTTCACGAAGAAAAATATAGAAAGTAACTTTTATATATAATACTTTTATAGTAAAACTTAAATTGTCAGAAACTTATCTGCGCACTTCTGGTAAACTTTTACTATACTTTCGGAGTAAATTTTGCTATGTTCGAAGTAAATTTTTACTAGGATCAAAGAAAATATAAAAAAAATTATTAATGATTAATTATTAAGAATTAAAATTATTAAGAGAAAAATTATAATAAAAGTAAAAAATTAGTAAAATTTACGAACGTCTAGCAAAAATTTCCTCCGAAAGTATAGCAAAAGTTATCAGAAATGCACAGAATTTTCTGGAAGTTTAAATTTTACTATATAAGAAAGTATAGTAAAATTTACTTTATATTTATCTCCGGGTTGAAATATAATTTTAAAAAATTTCGATTAAGCTCTTAGAAATAAATTAGTTTCATAGAATGTTTAATTAAAAGTATGGAAAATTCAGATTTTCAAAGATATATTAATTTGAAATCTTTACAAAAGTCAATTATTTCTAAAAATTGCAATTATTAGTAATTTCTTCAAAATTCAATTATTATATCAAAAATTTTAACTGACATTAATTTTTAAATTAATTTTTATTTGAAAATTCTACGAGAATTCAATTATTTAAATTTAATAATTTATTGAATAATTGAATGTTTCTTAAAATTCAATTTCCATGAAGAATTTTATCAAACAAATTTTTAAATAATTAAAAATTTTTCGACGAATTTTAATGAAATTTTTAAGAATAATTATACATTTTTTGAGGAATTAGATTAAAATTGTATTAAAAATAATTGAAATTCTGTGAAATTTACATTACTTTAAAAAATATAATTGAACATTCATGTAGAATTTTGTCAAAATTTTTATTAAATAATTGAATTCTTTTAGGAAATTAAAAAAAAAATTTTTTAAATAATTTAATTCTTGTGATGAATATTGTTATTTATGAAAATAATTGACTTTCTTCAAAAATGATATATTCATGAAAATAATTAAAACCCTGAAAAGAATTATAAAATTTATGAAAATAATTAAATTACTGCGAAAAATTTAATGCCAAATTTTAAAACATTTGATTTTTCAAAAAAAAATTTTGCGAATTTTATTCTAAATAATTGAATTTCTGTGGGAATTTTATTTTTTTTGAAACATAATTTAATGTTCGTGTAGAATATTATCAAAATTTTTATTTAATAATTGAATTCTTTTTTAGAAAAAATTTGCTATTTATATTTATAAAGATAATTGAAATGTTGACATTTTAAATTCTTTAAAAATAATTAAATTTCTGCGAAGAAGTTTATTAATTTTGAAAATAATTAATTTACTTTTTAAATGAATATTGTTATTTAAGAAAATAATTGAATTTTGCAATGAGTTTTATTAAAATTCCTGAAAAGAATTGAATTTTGTTGAAGAATTTTGTTATTCATTTATAAAAGTTAATTGAAATGTTGACAATTTTTTTTTTTAGATTTTTTGAAAATAATTGAATTTCTACGAAGAATTTTATTATTCATGAAAATAATGGAATTCTTATGAATATATTGTTATTTATGAAAATAATTGAATTTCGCAATGAATTTTATAAAAATTCCTGAATATATAATTGAATTCCGGCAAGGAATTTTGGTATTTAAAAAGATAATTGAAATGTTGACGAGAATTTTTCTTAAAATTTTTGAAAATAATTGAATTTCTGTAAAGAATTTTGACATATTTATTGAGATTAGTTGAATTCTTTCAAAGAATTGTGTTAATATTTTTAAAATTGAAACTAATTTCAACATAATTGAAATTAAAGTTTTTGAATAAAATACTTCATTAAATGATTTATATATATATGTAATAACTTTTATATGGCAGTTCTTCAATAGAATTAAGTTATTTAAAATAAATTATTGTCAGAAAAAATTTAAGTTTTTTTTAGAATTCGTGGTAATTTCATATAGTTTATGAGGAAAATAAAAAGACACAAAAAATAAGAAAATTTTCTTATAAATTCTAAACATTTAATTTTTTCAGTACTTTTAATCCTTCAACTTTTTCCCTCTGAAAGTTACATTTCATGCTAACTATATCACAGTTTTTCTGCTGATATCAAATTGAGACAAAAAACGAATCAAAAGTGTTGCGAAGCAATAACGTTTTTCTGCTGATATCAAATTGAGACAGAAAACGAACGTTTTTTGTCTCAATTTGATATAAGCAGAAAAACTATGATAGGTTTATTTTGGGTTTCCTATAGTCAAAGGAGAAGAAATCTGTCACTTATTGCTCTAGCTGTTTTGTACATCTTAATAGAAGAAGAAGAAATGAAGGTAATTCCTATACCTTCTTTTTCTTAAATAACAATAAAAAGCGATCTAATTAATATCAAGAGTTGATGTGCGTAGAAAAAGCAAACATATACATTTTTGATTGGTTCAGAGGATGAGTGTGGTGAAAAAGAGGATAATACACGCTTCACAGAGAGCATAGAGGCGCAGCATCTCTCTGAGTATGGATATACACGCGCCATGGCAACACAATGACGTGAAGAATAAAGCCTTGCAAACGAGCATGTCGCTTTTTATGCACAGCAATGTACACATGTCAGGTGTGCGCGTGTAAGTTAGTGAGCAACGGTGCATGCATACATTAGGCGTAGGTGTATCATCTAACTAACTTGGTTGGCCTGTGTTTGGGTCGCCACCGATCGTCCCGCTTCAGCTTACTTGGGTGGCCCTTCTCTGCCTCTACTCTCCACGTCCTCATCAACTCATACAACTCTCTCTTCTCTCTCTTTCTCCCTTTATTAATCTGTCTTTCTCTTCTTCTTACTCTATATCATTCTCTCTTTTTATCTCTCTCTCTCTCTTTGTCCTTTTCTCACTCTCTATTTTTCTCTCTTTCTCCCCCTGTATATCTATTTCCCTATCTTTCGCACTGACTATTTCTCTCTCGCTCTCTATTTCCTTCTCTGTCTATATTTCTCTCTCCTGTGCTTCCCTTACCTCTATATATTCAGATGATGAATGACTTAGCGCTCCCTTCATATACCAACTTGCTGATCCCCACTTTCCTCTCTTCCTGCCTCCACCATCCTCCTACTTTGAATGCTACACCCTTTTGCAGAGTCCTCGAAAACCGCACAAGGTGGCACAAGGGTTTATTAATCCCCAATCAATGGACGTCCTTATGTCCTCTTCTAACCTCAAGAGAAGAAACATTTCATCATTGATACCCAATTGTATATACCTATATCATTAAAGAGCCGAACAATTTATATCTTCTTCTAATTTTTTCTACTGATAAATCATGCAGACTTCGCATTCGATAATTAATTTAGAAAAGTAGCAAACAGTAGCTTCAAAACCAAGAAAAGTATAGTAAAAAAATAGTTATCGAAAAATTAAACTTTTGACGAACAAAATAAAATAACTCGTTATAAGTTATTACCCAATTCAACAAGTTTGATTATAATTTTGACCCTGTGGCTCTTAGAAGAAAAATTTCTTTGCATTACGAATAGTTATGCTTACCGCATAAAAAAATGCTGCTAAAATGCTTTTTTGTCCTACCTGCACGAAAAGTATGTCATTTCGGGCACTTAAAGTGGGCGCAAAGTAACTTATTCTCGCCCGGGGCCAGGGAAGCGGTCGCAAAAGTTATTTACGCCCGCTGACGTCACACAAGCGGGCGCAAAAGTACTTTTGCGCCCGCTTCATCTAGCCCGAGCGGGCGCAAAAGTACTTTTGCGCCCGCTTCGCTCGTGCCCTCGATGCCATACTTTTCATGCAGTTAGGACAAAAAATTATGTTCGCAACATGGGCGCAAAAGAGATTACGACTTTGGCGAGATTTCGGGACCTCAGGGACACTTTCGCACCCTCGGCTTCGCCTCGGGCGCGAAAATGTCCCCTCGGTCCCTTCATCTCGCCATCGCCGCAATCACCTATTTTGCGCCCTTGATACGATAATAACTATTTCTAAAATTAAAAAAAACAGATTTTTACTAAATTCTTTTATACTTGTATATATATGTACGAAGTCTTTCTTTTATCTTGCTAGCAACTTCCTTCCTCTTGCCACTTGGAAAGCGTATAGAGAATGGTATAGGGAATCCCTAACATTATTCATTGCTGACACAAGCATACTTGGTTCAATTTACAACTCGGTTCATCTAAATTGCCGCCACTGATAGTCATCCAAACATTGCTACTGTTTGTTTTCAACTGTTTTCATAATCATTGCTGTACTGTTTTCAAAATCCGTTATATCAAATATTCAAAAAACTGAAAAAGCCTTTTTAGAAAATTGAAGAAGTCAAAATGCGCGATTAACGAACAATCTTTAAACTTTTCTGTACTTTTCTGTCTTTGAACGAACAGTACTAAATGTCGATTCAAATTACTTATCCAATTCATTCGTTAGCTTTTCGAATGTTCACTCGGTTTATATATCTAACCTTCAGTCGGTATTGTTTTAAACTTTTCTTAAAATTTCATGTAACTGTGATCACTCAACTGCATCATTCGTACTTTACTGGAAGGAGAATTCAAAACCACCGCTTGGTTATAGGTTTAGAGTACCGTCTGGGTGTTAACCTTATTTAAATAAAAATTAACTAAAAAAAAAAAATTCATGCAGCGAAAGTTGATTTGACCGCAAAAGATGATTCACCACGAACAGTATTTTCCTTTTTTGTTTGTTTGAAGAACGATATTGAATGCGGTGTCAGAACGATAGAATATACTTTAAATTGTCCTCTGATCAATGAACAACTCATCAGCAGCTGAAAGCCTCGACTGTAAGAAAAGTTATCATATTGAGGAAAAGGAAAAAGGAAGAAACATGTCCGAAACGGGTCATAAACAACAAGAATGGAGCACAACGAGAATATGGGTCTCCTATGGTTTGTTCTGTGGTCGACTTCACAAGTCGCTTAGCTACCTGAAGGGTCGAGGGCCCTTGGTATATATTTTATATCCAAAAGGCCTTTCATGTTTCACTACAGAGGCACCCAGCGTGTCGAATAGAATTCAGGAGGCTTTAGTCGCAGATAGGTATATTTTGACATCCCGAGAAATTAGTATAATAAAGGGGGCCAAGGTAAAGGCGCCCAGAGTGCCTAAACACACGCCGTAAATCTCCCCCGTCGCTCTCACTCTCTCTCTCACTTCAAGACCACACCACCACCACCACTATCACCAGCACTCCTCGAGGGTTCTTTAATGTTACCTAAACTATCGGGGAGGAAGATGCGTCTCTTATATATTTTGATCGATCGTGATATGTCTGTGTCTTGTTGTGTAACGGTCTTTATTGCTTTTTCCACTCCTTATGATTTAGTCTCTCTATCCTCTCGTCGTCAATTCTTATTGTCCTGCTAAAATATCGTTAAAAATCGAGGAGTCACTTAAAAAATGATTGCTGATGATTTATGGTGGCTGTACTGTTATTTCTTCATGTGCAGCATAACTGCAATTTTAAGACTGAATTTTAGAACTGTAGCTAGAAAAATTAACACTTTTATTAAACCTAATAGAATGCAGATGTTCAGGATCCTAGGGATTGGAATTTTTTATCTATTTTTGACTCTCCTCATCGTGGACAATCGTGGTCTTTGGCAAAACCCTCTCCATAATGCTGTTAAAGAATTTTGTCTTTATTTTATTTAATTAATTTTATTATTATTATTTATTATTATTAAATGTCTTTCAGATTCACAAGATGATCTATTAATCATGTTGCACCTAAAATATTTCACTCATATTTCTAAACTATGTCTTCATCTTATTCCAACAGTTTTATCTATCCGATATCTTAATTATCGGTTAGAAAGCAGAAGATGACAATGACTTTTCAGTAATGAAAACCCGATTTTTATCGATTGTTCCCACCTGGCGTTGAATTTGACCCTTTTTGACATAGTTTCCCGCACTCAAAAAAGTAGATTTCGTCAGAATTTAAGAAATTCCGTGCATTCTTGTAAATTACAGTATAGGGTTGCCACGCTTTTGCGCTCATTTCAAATTCCCTGACTTTTCCAGGTTTCCCAGGTTAAAAAACGAAATTTTTCTCCAGGTTTTACATTTAAATTTTACCAAAAATTAAATAACTCTCTGATTTTAAAAGACATAACTTTGATGAATTTATTTAATTGTTAAATTATTCGAAAACATCAAAAAACTTCATTTTTAAATAAATATTTAATCATTATTATTATTACATAGGAATTCAAATTCTTAATCAAAAGATTCAAATTCAATAACATATAAGAATATTATAATAAAACATAAAGATATCGATCAGTCCAAATCTTCGACTTTTGAAATGATCGCTTTCTTTATGTTTTATAATAATTAAAACTTGACAAAATCATTATTTTATTATTATTAAAATATTGTTACTGTAACTTCTTCAAAAATTATTTTCATCATTTCGATTCAATTATTCATTTCTAGAATTTTTAACTACAATTCTTCTTTAATTCAATTTTTTAAAATAATTTTTGAAAAAGTTATTCGAAAATTTTCAAATTCTAGCTTTTGTTTAGAATTTAATTTGACGAAATTTCTATTATTCTGAAATTCTTCAATTAAATTGTATATATATTAGAAAAGAAGAACGGTAAATATACAGTCATACAATTGGAGTATGGTTATAATTTTTTATAAATAAGGAATTCTCAAATGACAAATGCGAGTATTCATTTGTAAGTTCAACTGCTAACTGCCACTATGGAAGTTTCTTTCAGAAATACCAAGAGTTTAACACAAATTTTACCCATTTTGACCCAAATTTTTGAAACTTACAAGTTTTAAAAATTTGGGTCAAAATGGGTTAAAATAGGTAAAATTTGGGTAAAATGAGTATTCATTTGTAAATTCAACTGCTAGCTGTCACTATAATGTATATAAGTTTCTTTTAGAAATACCCAAAGTTTAACCGAAATTTTACCAATTTTAACCCATTTTACCCAAATTTTTAAAACTTGTAAGTTTCAAAAATTTGGGTCAAAATGGGTCAAATTCTTATTGAATCTTTATTTAAAACAATAGAACATTCTGTGTGGTCTAGAATTAAAGCTGATAACGTCCCTTTTCTGTTGTAGGTTCATTGAGAGACAGAAATGAAGAAAATTATTAGATTAGGTCAGATTAGAATTTTGGTATCGACATTAGAACATCCAACTATCAACTATCCAACAAACAATACAGCGATGAGAAAGAGGATAACAATTAGGACCTGTCGGAAAGTAATGAGAGGATTCAGCCTCTGCTGAAAACCAAAAAAATACCAGTAGGTTACACATCTCTTATCGACAACTTCCGATGCCGCACTTGAACTCCATCTCCCCCCACGGGTGGATGGCGAAACCACCATAAGTCTGTAATCCTCATCTTTACCTACCCATCAGCCATTGGAGTAAGTCTGCAGCCTCCTGAAGCTTTGGAGTATTCCCCTTGACGCGCGAATATACCTTTATTAGCGCCTAGTCACCGCCACGACTCTTGGTATGGTTGGATAAGCACGTTGCCAGCCATCAGGCTCGGTCGATCGATCTCTTTCGGCACTAGCAATGTTGCTGCTCCACAGTTACACGTACACGATACAAGCAACAACGTGGATTGTGGGTTGGCTGTGAGACGAAGGGGGCCGCTGGTCGTGGCTCAAATACTCGCAGTCCAACCTCCTGTCGCACCGAATTATCGTTTCCCTCAAGTCCCTACCAATCGGCGTGGGTCTTTCTTTCACGTTCACGTTCTTCTTGGCCTCGCCCCTTCTCCCTTTTCAGACCACCAGAGTGCGCGCGCACTCCCAGTTATCACGATAACCCTCAACAACTTTGCCCGAGTAGTGGGGGCCACCGATCGTGGGAGGAGGAGGAGTAGGAGGTCAGTGGAGTTCGGGTAGTCGAGCAGCGCAGACGCGTTGTGCGCCTGAGCAATTTTCTCTCTCTCAAAGTTAGAAACTTGACTTTTCAGCTTCTTGTGCTTCGTTGTTGATCCTCGTTGATCGTTGTTCGCATATTTTCATTTTGTGTAATGATTCTTTATAAATTAACAAATTAATTTATTCGCGATAACGGTAAAAACAAAACAACAGAGACCTGTAGTGAAAGAATTTTTTTGCCGTCGGGAGTGCGAAAGAGGGTTGTGAGTTATTCGAAGAGTGAAGCCTACGAAAATTAATTAAAGAGGGGCAAAGAGAGAATCTGTTTGAAAAGAGTGATAGCGAAGAGAAATGAAGGGGGAAAGGGGTAAAGCGACGGACTTCAGCATAGCGGCCATCATGGCGCCCAGGGGTCCGTCCTTCGGACATTACCACCTGCAGGGCCTTAGTGGTAACGCGTCAGCCAACACCAATGTGGAATGCGGCAGCAAGGCTTTCAGCACACTTGACCACCGTGAGTTACTTTCCCCCCCAGAGGATAATTTTTTTTCTTACGTCTAGTTCACATCTTGGGGAATTTCATTTCACATATCGTCTTACGGTTCTTTGATCCCTAAACATTTCATTACACCAACTCGCGATGGTGTAAGTCAGAAGTTCCTCAATCTTCCAGAAGTTATTTCGAAAATTTAAATTAACTGATACTTAGATAATAAGTAAAAAAAAGAGTTGATGGATGTTCAAGACTATGACGAAGTTGAAGTCCAGAAATAGTTGATCAACGAAGTAAATTTAATGCATCTGAATATATCCGAATACCTTTAGGAACCTAGGTGGAAAAGTTAACGTTAGCTAATGTTACTAACGTTAGACTAAGGTTAACTAACGTTAGGCTAACGTTAGACTAACGTTATAATGTGACATTAGTGGTCAAAAATATTGTTAGATTAACGTTAGTTATTAACGTTAGTTTTTACGTTATAGTTAATGTTAGTCTAACGTTATAGTAGCATTATATAGCTAACGTTAACTTTTCCGCCTGCGAAAAGTTTCCATAGTTAACTAAACAATATTGTTGAAACTTGAATAAAAATCTTCCGCTCTTGTACATTTTTCAAGAGGCCGAATATTATTTTAGCTTCAAATTTAAATCGTATAGTTATTTGTTCTCTTAAAAAAATTCCTTAACAATTTTGAGCAAATCGAAATTCTTTATTTTTTCGGTTTTAAAATCTTTGCGGACAGCTTCTTTAATTTTGTATATGACAATATAGTGTCACGAGCTTTGAGTAATTAACTTTTTGTAAAAGTTTTCATTGATCAAGAGGTCTTCAACTTGGTCCAAAATGCTCTCAATACTGAACATACAGACATCATAATAAATAAGGAGTACTTACAAGGAAGTTCGAACCAAAATCCAAAAAATTTTCTTCTTTACTGTCTCTCCATGAACCTGCAACAGAAAATTCGTGATCAGCTTTAATTCCAAAACACATAGAATGTTCTATAGTTTCAAATAAAGATTTAATAAGAATTTTAACCCATTTTGACCCAAATTTTTTAAACTTATAAATTTCAAAAATTTGGGTTAAAATGGGTAAAATTTGGGTTAAACTTTAGGTATTTCTGAAAGAAACTTCAATAGTGGCAGCTAGCAGTTGAATTTACAAATCAATACTCATTTTACCCATTTTGACCCAAATTTTTGAAACTTATGTTTCAAAAATTTGTGTCAAAATGTGTTAAAATGGGTAAAATTTGGGTTAAACTGTGGGTGTTTCTGAAACAAACTTCATAGTGGTCTAGCAGTTGAATTTACAAATGAATACTCATTTGTCATTTGGGATTTATTGCCTAAATAAAAAATTTTCCGAACGGTTGTAAACTTTTACTTTTCTAAGCATGTATGTATATAAGAATTAACATTCCTTTTTTATGAGAAATTATAACCACTCTATTTGTGACTGTATTTATTATACAAAAAACCTTTCTCTAAGAGAATGCTACAACATTTCACACTATTTGCAAAGACCATCAGTCTTTATGCAATTAGTTCATTTGTATAATTAACTACGTTCAATATATAGTTTCCCTTTGCGATAATTTAACGCACCTCGCAAGTTCTACTCAATTTATTGTTCCTGGTTTGAAAGTATATTAAAAATAAAACCTAGTTTTATAATGAGAGTGTAAAAATCCATTCATTTACCAAAATTTAAGATTACATTTCGTTCATTACATTAAATTATAAGGACATATGATCCTCTGCAGTAAGGATACAGTTGTCAAAAAATTGGGTACTAAGATTTTTGGTAAAGAAATACCAGGTGGAAAAGTTAACATTAGCTAATGATACTAACATTAACTAATGTTAGGCTAACGTTAGACTAACATTTAGTTCATGTTAATCTAACATTAGTGACCTATAAAAATGTTATAGTTTAACGTTAGCCTAACGTTAGGCTAACGTTAGACTAACGTTTAGTTAACGTTAATCTAACGTTAGTGACCAAAAAATGTTAGATTAACGTAGCCTAACGTTAGTCTAACATTAATATAATTAGCTAACGTTAACCAACGTTAATTTTTCCACCTGGGATACTTCATGGAAGAATAGTTAAAAGTAACAGAATAATAAAGTACAGAATAGTAATACAAAATAGTGATGGAGTACAAAATAGAAGAGTACATAGAATAATAAAGACTTTACAACAATCAAATAATGTACAGAATTGCATCAGAAAAAGCCGTAATGGAAATATATGCCATACAAAAAGAAAGTAATAAAGAATATTTTCCGCATTAGTCAATTACCATGCGACGTGCATTGAAAATCATAAAAGCGAACTGATTCATTTGGATCCAAAGAATAAAGTTCAACATTTTAATGCTCGTGTTTGCCAAGAAGCATCAGTTTCAACTAAAATAAATCCACAATTCCCAACTAGTGTTAAAACCCTTGGTAAATCCTCTCTAAACACTAAACATTAATCTCCAGAGCAACATATCGTTAACTCCTATATACAAGTACCTAAATGGAGGCCACTTTCGCTTTCTCAACTTCTTGATTATGTTCCGCAGCTACTATATAATTATTCAAAGATATAATTAGAGCCGTTTGAATTTAGAAGATAGGAAAATTTTATTTTTCCCCAGTATTCAGATATATAATATATTAGTCCAAAAAAAGGAACTAAAAGAGATGCATTTCTTTTTTCTTAAAATAACATCTATATGTGTGTATACATATGCAAATGGTCATGGGTGTTAATTCATCAGATGTTTGGTTATTTGAAATGTGTATACGGGAGACGTTTTGTAATGTGATCGAAAGAAACTTTTTGAGTACCACCTCTTCTTCTCTTCTTTGGAGGGCTTGGGCGGTGACAGGATTCTGGGTGGTCGTTGCACGACGGGCGTATAGGCAAAAAGGAAGCTTACGTCAGAAACTGCACACGCTCATATTTCTTCTCACTTCAGAAATGAGAGCGCGAGAGTCTCGAGAGCGACCCATGCGTTTGTCGCATTGTGATCGTAATTCTTTTTTTTTAATGAGATTCGCAGGTCGAGTTTTTTAGTCTAAATACTTTTACAGTTATGAACACTTCTAATCTGAATATAATTTTGGTCATCCAAATATTTTTCGACATCTTTTGCCAAAGTATTTAGATATCCAAATGTACTTTTGCAAACCTAACCATTTCTAAATAAAAACTTTTGCGTTCAGCATACAGGAAACAGAAAACTTTGTATAGCGCGAACTTTGGCCTAGTTTTTCTAAGGATATCAAATTCAGACAAAAAATGAATCAAAATCGTTGCTTCGCAACATTTTTTATTCATTTTTTGTCTCAATTTGATATCCTTAAAAAAACTGTGCGGTATATTTTGTAGCATAAACTTTGTACTATAGCAAACTTTACAATCTGTTGCAAAGATTATACGATCCGCTTTTCTTCAGAGCTAATTATCATCAATTAGTAAACATTTATCACTCGGTCATTATTCGAATTTGCAAATTTTCCAAATAAAATTGCGCGCACAACCAATAATTGCTCAATCTAGATAAAGAAATAATTATCCCTCTATATCCCAAAGTAGTAATTTCTCAAGAAGGAAAAAAAGACAACTAAAAACTCTAACTAAATTGAAAATGTTTCTATAAACTGTAATTTTCTTTAAGTACAGTCTTTCGCTACTGAGCGGCACTTAAATCCAAGCTATCGAATATATTTTTATTTCCCACGAATACTCGGTTGACTTGAAAATCCTTTGTAAGGTTTCCAAACTGGATTATATCATTGTAACATTAGAAGAGTGTATATATATTAAAGACATTATGTAAATTAACATATTTATTTTCAATTTTCTTCGAATTGTAAAATTTTACAAAGAGCAATAGATAGTGGCGCAATACTTGATAAAAAATGTGATCAGAAAGAAATATAAAGTTGTTTAGAGAAATATATAAATGATGCAATTGAAAATAACAATGTATTGTTAAGGGATTTTCAGAGTCAATGACCGTAGATCATGAGGATATAAAACTCGAGTAAATAGAGTCATTAGAATCTTATGACGGATAATAACTGAAGTAAACTGTGAAACTTTATTGCACTTATTAGTTTCTACTGAAGCTATACCCAATTTACCTGCCGCATTGTTCGAAGTAGAATCGTACCAGTCGTTCATAATTTACAATATCCACTAAATGTTTTAAAATCCATCATAGTTGTACTAAATGACTATTTCTAGCGGTAATTTTCTTTCTTAATATACTGATGTACTTTTAAGATTTGTGACCATTTACGGATTTTAATAAGTTTGCACTTCCAGCGAGCAAGTCACTAATGAAGTTACTTATTCTTTTAAAAAATTATTTCTTTCACCGAAATAGAACTTTAGCACCGCACTTACTTTTCTAATACTTCTTTTTTGTTTTTGATTCTTGAAATCAATTTCGCGTCGACTTTTTTCGTATATATTATAATTATAAATAAGTAACTAACAAATTTTACTAATAAAAATCACATGTTAGGGAATAATTAAGTCTCAAACTATAATTTTCGTTTTTCATTGTTCCGAACATTCAATAATTTTCCGTATACGTTTCATAACTTTAATTTTAATCAAAACAGATCTGTACGAAAACAAAACTGATGAGAATGTAAAAATATTTCGTTTGTTTAAACATTCACTTTATTCATTTCAGAAACTTTTTTTTAAAGCAACACTGGATTGATTGTATATTAGTCAGATACAAATTAAATTGATTACGATTCGTTATCAAATGTTAAAATCCATTTGCGGATAATATTAACGATATTATGTTTTAGTGTATAAATGCTCATCATCTGCAGATGCGCATTTACACTTGTTATGTTGAAAATGTTCGTTTACACGAATACGTATTGCCAATTGGTTATATACCGTACATCGATGAATGCATCTGCTCAATACATGTATTACACGCACATATAGCGTGAAAATGCATACGAGTGTATATATTTATAACGCAAATGGTGTGTACTTTTATGACGTGAACATTGTCGACATATCCGGCGACTCGTTCGTAAATTATTAATTGACAATTTACAAACAATTTTGCTTTTTTTAAATCGTGTCTAAATGAACATTTCTATCATATAATGTATATATACCCGTGCAGAAATCGCCACTTTTGTTCCCGATTACCGCCCTGGCCCCGGTCGGGATTTCATGATCTGGCCCCGACTTCGTGGCCCCGACCAGGACCAGACCGGGTTTGCCCAAGGATCTACAAACAGCGCACAATGGGATTTTTTTTACAATTTACTGTTCAAAACTGTCTACAGCCTACAATTCTTAACCGGTTTCAGTATTCTTTATTTTAAATTAAAGGCGAATAAATTCTTAAGACATCCCTTAAGGTCAATTTTTTAGTTCTTAATTGTTTATAATTTTTATTTTCAATCAAAGTTAACAAATTAATACAATTTTTCAAAAAAGGAGGCTTATTTTCTTATTCCGTTGCTGCATATGATCTGAATCAGTTCAAATTAATACAATATGACCACCATATAATTAATAAAACAGAAAGTAATTTATATCAATTGTTATAAACAATATTAATTAACAAATAGTTAACTTTGATTTCTTTCCACTAAAAAATGTTTTTTTTCACATTTTCTTTTTAATTTAAGTCTATTTAAAGAATATTTGTCCTTTTTGATTAAAAAATAACTTATTTAAATTGTTATAAACAATATATTAAATAACAAATAGTTATGTAACTTATGCTCCTGTCCACCAAAAAAATTTTTTTTCACGTCTACTTTTTAATTTAAGTTCATTTTAAAAATATGTGTCCTTTTTGTTTAAAAAATAACTTATTTAAATGGTTACAAATAATATTAATTAACAAATAGTTAATTTTTGTTCCTTTCCACCAAAAATTTTTTTTTCACGTTTACTTTTTTATTTAGATAATGTTAAAAGACCACGGATATATAATATTAAATATTTAAATAAGTTATATTATAAGCAAAAAAGACATATATTCTTTAAAAGAACCTAAGTAAAAAAGAAAATTTGCAACAAAAATTTTCTGTTGGACAGGATCATAAGTTAACTATTTGTTAATTAATGTTGTTTATGACAATTGAAATATATTACTTTATGGGTTTTTAATTGTCTGCTGGTAATATTGGATTAATTTGAACTGATTTAGAGCATGTGCAGTAACGGAATAAGAAAATAAACGTCCGTTTTTAAAAAATTGTGTTAATTTGTTAACTTTGATTGAAATTTGAAAATAAAAATTATAAACAATTAAAAACTCAAAAATTGTCCTCGAGGGATGTCTTAAGAATTTATTCTCCTTTAATTTAAAACAATAGGACAAACGCACCAATTGTCGAGGGTGAACCATTTGTCGATGTTATCATGGTGATAACCAAAAATATTGCCTAAAATGTTAAATTTTTTTGTGGTTATAATATTAACATATTATTTTTGACATTTATAACTCTTAAAAACTCTTAATTGTTTTTCACACTTAAATTGAAATTCCATGTTTAAGGCAAAAAAATAAATTATTATTAATTAATAATTTTTAGTATTATTGTGAATTATTAATAATGAAAAAATTTTTATTATTTTAAAAAATAGTTAAATTATAAATAATATAGAATAAATAATTAAATTAATAATTTTTACCATATTATTATGATAAACATATTAATTTATATATATATATATATATATATATATATATATATATATATATATATATATATATATAACATACATTTTTAATAATTTTTCTATAAATAAATATGATACAGTCAATTTATTATGATAACACTGTATATAACGGTCCCATGATTCAAAAGGAAGTTTAAGCGAGGTCGCTTCCAAGCTTGCGTGGCTATGCGGTATGTGTATTCGACTTGCGTCCTCGAGGTCTAGGGTTCGGTCCCCCGTGCGTGCGATATTTTTCCGTCTTAGTTTTAAGTGTTTTGTGTATAATTCTTAATAATGTTACATAAAGTATAGGTTTAAATAATTATTAACAATAATAATAATTATAAATAATTATTAATTTAAATAAGATAGTCTGTCTAAATTAATGAAAGAAAATAAGAAAAATATTTTTTTTAAAAACTTAGTTCAATAAAAGCAATTCTAATAACTATTTACATTTTTAATGACACTCATAAAAGTTTATTTACTACAAAAATATTAATAATAATCATTAATATTGAAGTAAATACTCCCCATTCTTTAATAATCAAATAACAAGCTTTAATATAATAAAATGCAGTCAGTATTGGAATTCTACCTGGGTAGCGAAAAGATCGGGGGAAATCCCATGGCCCCGACCGGGTCCCGACAGGGCGGCCAGATCGGGCAAAGTGCCATGGCCCCGGTCAAAATTTCTGCACGGGTATAAAATATATTTTGTAATATAGTTTCTCTCTAAACTTTTTGTTACTATTAAATAATTAAACTTTTTACCGCACATTTAAATCACAGGCCTCGGATATTATGACATTTTCGACTATTTTCAAATAATGCGCGACTTTTATCGACTTATTGCATTTAAAAAATTGCGACTTTTTCGACCTTTCTTCCAAATTTTGCGACAAAATACCGTATTTTTAGTATAAATTGCAACTTATTTCGATTTTTATAGTGTGAAAAGCATAAATATATATCAGGATGGCCACATGTCCAGTAAAGTCAGGAAAAAAAATTTTTTTCAGGGAAATTTAGAAAATTGAGATTTTTTTCGACTTATTTAAAAAAATTTCGACTTTCTCGACTTTTCTTCCAAATATTGCAATAACATCATATTTTTTAGTATTAAATATAACTCATTTCGATTTCTATTAGTGCAAAAAATAACTATAAACAAATCTTTCAAAAATGATTTTTAATCATTTTTCTCATTAAATTTTCAAAATATACAATAAAAAGATTTTGAATAATTGAAATGGAAATTTTGTAAAATTTAATTGAAAATAAATCGTTTTTTCAAGTATTTTAGATTAATTTTATTGAAAATAAACTTTTAAAGAATTGAAAATTTTTGAAATAATTGAATTCTCAAAAATTTTAATAAATAAATCTTCAAGTGTAAATTCAATAAAAATGGAAAATTAATGAAAATTAGGTTCTAAAAATAATATTAGAATATAGTTTTGAAAAAAGTAATTTTCTAAATTGTTTCGTTCTAATTTTTTAAAATTCGATTATTTTCAATATTTTTAGAATTATTTTTAACATTTTGGAGAAAATAATCATATATTTACAATTTTTAATTAAAATTCTTCAAAACATTAAGTTTTTTTTTAATTATATAAAAATTCTTTAATTATTTTAGAAAAATTACATTACAATATATTTATAAAAAACTAATTCTTAGAATTGTTTTATCATCATTTTTTAAGATTCAATTACCTTCAAACAAAATAAATTAAAATTTTTGAAAATTTACGCTTTTTTATAGAATTTTGGAGAAATCTAATAATTAAAATTCTTCAAAAAATTGATTTATTAAAATATTTTTTAAAAACTCCATTTTTTAAAAAAATAAAGATTGTATTAAATTTAAATTATTTTTCAAAGCTTTTTCCAAATTTCAATTATATTTTTCTTAGCTTTTATCAAATTTCATTTATTTTTCAAAGATTTTACCAAATTTTAATTATTTTTACAAAGATTTACCAAATTTCAATTATTTCTTAAAAGATTTTACCAAATTTCATTTTTTTTGGACATTTTTTAATTGCGTATGTAATTGTAAAACTATATATATTATTGTCTTTCAAAACTTATTTAGAAATATTTTTAAAAATAAGTTAATTTTTCGAATTTCTTTATTAAAATTTTTGAAAATATTCTTTCTTAATATCTTTCAAGAGAAAAATGAACAGTTATATATAGTTGTAATTTTTAGAAATTAATAAATTTCAAAATTTGAAATTTTTTAAATTTTATTATCCGTGAAAAAAGAAATAAGGAGTATTGAAATATTTATTTTATATTTTGGAGCATGATTGGAATGAAAATTGAGAATTCTGTTTGAGCGAAATATTTATTTAGCAAAATTATTCAAGTTTTGATTAATTGAATTTAGAAATCAGTGAAGCTTCAAAGAAATACAAAATAAAATTTTTGAATTTTTTGTTTTTTTTATTTTTTTCAAAACATTAAATTAAATAAAAGACTTTTCTATTTTTAATCGACTAAAGCGACTTTTTTTGCTCGTTTAAAGTCGATCCGAGGTCTAAAATCATGTTTAAATACTGATGCAATATTAAGGGAACAGAGAAACATTATGTCTCTGGTACTATTATAAAATATTACATTAACATAATTATTATAATGATTAGGGAGAGGGAGGTCAATATACGCTTAATTTAATTGAAATACAAAAAGAACATTTTCAAATATATTAATTGTGTATTACTGAAATACTACCTGCATGCCATATGCAAAAATCCTTAATTTAAGCAATTTAAAAAATGATTTCAAGTGTCTTTGTAACTGGAAAGTTACAAATTTCAATTTACACGTATATATGCGAGCGCCTGCCTCTCATATATGGAATATTGCATGAAGATCGTTGTCATTATAGGTGTGTATATATGTTGTACTCACAAAAGCATAATTTCTCCTTGGGGCTTTACTTATATCCTTATACTATACACAGAGGAGGTGGATGGTATAATATACATTATAAACTCTACTGTACGGTATAAAACTCTTTCACATATGCACCTTTTTAAATGCAAAATATAAAGTGAACCTTTATTGTTATTATTATATACTGCAACTGCACGGTACAGTTTACCAGATATGATAATGTGTGTGGTAAATGCTACTATCACTATCATTACTACATGGCGATGAAAACATTGAAGGTGAGCTCGTATCAGAAGGACGTGTCATGACACATGTAATCTGTCTCGGGAACAAGTTTCCTTCATTCAGATTAGATATAGCATAATAGTAAACGTTAGAAAATTTCTGTTTCTGTGTAAAGTTATTCATATATCGTTATTCGCAGGTAAATATATCAAGTGCATGAAATTGCAAATATTTACAATGACATTTCTTTTATTTCAAAATATTTGCATTCAAAGAAGAGGGGAAAATTCCGTTAATTTTTTTTTATTAGAGCGAGCGAAAAGTAATTCAGGTTTGCTACAAAAATTTAATTTTGTTTTACCCTGATTTTTGGGCAAAATTTTCATTTTTCCTCTGATCCTAAAGAATATTTTGATTTACTCTAAAAATTATTAGACGCACTTATAGAAAAATGTTCTGTAACATTTATATTTCTGAATTTCTTTAATTTGTATAAAATTATTCGAAAACATCAATAACTTCATTTTTAAGTAAATATATGTAATCCGTATTATTTTTCCACATTTAAGATTTTTAAAAATTTTAAATTCAAACCTTTTTGAAATTCAACAACTTTTAAGAATATTATTATAAAACATGAAGATATATCGATCGAACTCTTTATTAAATCAATTATTTTATAATCCATTATTATTCCTCATAATTCATTAAATCTTAGATATTAAAATATATTTAACTAATTTTAGGAGTAATTTGAATTATTAAAAGTTGGAAAAATTAAATATTTCACATTTGCAGTGCGCAAAATTAACACATTCCGCACGGAGCGGGCAAAAAAGTATAAATCACCCCCTAAAAACAATTTTTAGAACTTTGCGCTAAAATTTGAATTAAAAAGTACAAAAAATTTCTTTCCCTATAATTAAAAATTACAATTAATTGACAAAACGAATTTACAAAATTCCCAGTGCAAAAAAGAATATTGTTTCCCTCAAAAGCCCGCGTGAACAGGGAACAGGAAACATTGTAGTCGAGAAATATATATATTCCGGGAAACAATATGGTTTTATTATTTCACTTTTTATCCTTTATTTATAAAGAGACAAGAATTAATGTGACGAGCTGTACAAGTTTCTCGCCATGTAGATTCCAACAACGACGTTCTAACGTATTATTTACGGATCCAATTTAAGATACCGAAGGGAAGACTTATTGCGAACATAGCGGTGGTGGTTTGTGTATAGCTCATCGCATATATACATAGAGTCAGCAGATTCGTATCTGCGCGTACACGTAATTAACGTTAAATGCATTAACGCAAAGTGCGTTTTCATGAAATCTGACGGTTTAATTAGGTTACATGTTTGCGAGTCTGTGTACACACGCATATAAGTAGGAAAACGGACCCGACCCGCGGATCAATTAATTATCCTCATTAATTCAACATCCCAACCCCCGGCGAAATCGTTCATGATTATTTTGTTAGCACAAGTCATACCTACAGTAATGATAATAGTAGAGAATAATAAGACAGTGTGTGGAAAAAAATAACCGTAACATGTTAACAGCTGCGCAGATATTCGAGTATTTATTGTTTAAGTAACTAAGTAAATAAGTAAATTCGTACATAAGTAAATAAATATATAAATAAATAAAAATGTCAATAAACATACAAATAAATCTATAAATATCCTCCTATTATATAAAAATATTTCGCCGCCGCGGAGTCAATATTTTCTAAGGGCCCCGCACCCAGGGGCCGTTACATTACGCCCCCCACAAGGGCCTTTAAGTGTCACAACCTGGAAAACCTGGAAATGTCAGGGAATTTTATAAACCTTGAAAAAACCTGGAAAAGTCAGGGAATTTTTATTGGAATCCTGGAAAATTATTGTTATCTAAAGTTATTGTACTTATTCTTCAAATCTAATTTTTCTTTAATTCAATTTTCTTAATTCAAATTTCTTAATTCAATTTTAAAAGAGTTGCCTTTACAATTTTCCTTCTCAATAATTCAATTATTTTCATAAATAATCAAAAAATTTATAGATTTACAATTATTTTCATAAATAATCAAATTTTTACAGAGATTCAATTATTTTCATAAATAATAAAACTCATCGCAAAATTTCAATTATTTTTAATGCAATTTTAATAATTTTAATCGAATTCCTCGGAAGATGTAATATCCTTAAAAATTTTATTAAAATTCATCAAAGAAATTCAATTATTTTAAAAATCCTTTCTATAATTTGTTTATTAGAATATGAGTATATTATTGTCAATACATTTTTAATTAAATTTCTTAAAAAAATTAAATTATTTTCAAAAATTTTAATGAAATTCTTTTTAACAATTAAATTTTTTTTCAAAAATTATTTTTTATAAAATTCTTCGTAGAAATTTCATTAATTTCTATAATTTATCAAAATTCAATTATTTTCAATATCTAATATTTCAATAAAATTCCACAAAAAAATTCAATTAAGTATTTAAAAAGAAATATTATTAAAAAATTCGTCTCAAGAATTCAATTATTTTCAAAAGTAATAAATTTCTTAGAAGAAATTCAATTATGGTCAAAAGTTTAAATAAATTATCGTCAAAATTTCAATTATCTTTATAAATATTAAGATTTTTCTCCAAAATTCAATTATTTTCAAAAATTTTAATGAAATTCTTTTTAACAAACTCATTTTTTTTTCAAAAATTCTCCTTTTTTCAATGATTTTCAATATCTACTCTATTTTAATAAAATTTTCCAAAAGAAATCAATTAAAATATAAATTCGTCTCAAGAATTCAATTATTTTCAAAAGTAATAAAATTCTTAGCAGAAATTCAATTATGATCAAAAGTTTAAAAAAAGTTATAGTCAAAATTTCAATTATTTTTATAAATATTAAACTTCTTCTCTAAAATGGAATTATTTTCAAAAATTTTTCTCTAAAATTCAATTATTTTCAAAAATTTTAATAAAATTTTTCTCTAAAATTCAAATATTTTCAAAAATTTTAATAAAATTTTTCTCTACAATTCAATTATTTTCAAAAATTTTAATAAAATTTTTCTCTAAAATTCAATTATTTTCAAAAATTTTAATAAAATTCTTGGCAATATTTCAATTATTTAAAAAAATTTTAATAAACAACTTGACAAAATTTCAATTATTTTCAAAAACTTTTCTCGATTCAATCAAAATTTTTACAGAGATTCAATTATTATTTTTAATACATTTTTAATCTAATTTCTGGAAAAAAGAAATTATTATTGAAAATTTTATTGAAATTCGTCAAAAGAATTTTATTTACCTATTTAAAAATTTGTTGATAAAATTCTTTAAATGAGAGTTGAATTTTAAAAAACATTCAATTCTTCAATAAATTATTTTTTTTGTATTTAAATAATTGAATTGTCATAGAATTTTCTAATAATAATTGATTCAAATATGAAAATTTCAATTATTTTTATAAATATTAAAATTTTTCTCTAAAATTCAATTATTTAAAAAAATTTGAATACAATTCATCGCAAGAATTGAATTATTTTTATAAATAATAAATTTTTTCTGAAGAATTCAAATTATTTAGAAATTTTTTTATAAAATTCTTTATAAATTTGAAAAATTATAAAATTGATCATAGAATACAATTATTTTCGTAAAATATAACTTTTCTTCCTAGAAATACAATAATTATTGTCAAAAATGTTTGTAAAAATCTTCGAAACAATTCAATTATTTTCGTAAAAAATAAAATTCTTCGAAGCAATTCAATTATTAAAGAAATTTTAATAAAATTTTTTCCAAGAATTCAATTCTATTCAAAAATAGAATTTTTTCACAGGAATTCAATTATTTACAAATTTTTTATAAATTTCTTCGCAATTATTCAATTATTTTCATAAATAATAATATTTTTTACAAGGATTCATTTATTTTCGTATAATATAACAAAATTCTTGTTAGGAACTCAATTATTTTCATAAATAATAAAACTCATTGCAGATTTTCAATTATTTTTAATAAAATTTTAATCGAATTCTTCGAAAACTGAAATTATTCTTATAAATTTTATTGAAATTCGTCAAAAGAATTTTAATTACCTATTTAAAAATTTGTTGATAAAATTCTTTTAATGAGAGCTCAATTTTAAAAAACATTCAATTCTTCAATAAATTATTTTTTTTCGTATTTAAATAATTGAATTGTCGTAGAATTTTCTAATAATAATTTGATTCAAATATGAATTTCAGTTAAAACTGTAGATAATAATTGAGTTTTGAAAAGGTTTCAAATTATAATCTTTGAATGTTTGAATTTTTTATACTTTTAACTTAAAAATTGTGTAGACTTAATTTTTTTTGTAAAAGTTGAATTGAATTTTTTTGAAGTTATTTCAAGTTTTTATTTTCTAATATATATTTGACTGAAGAATTTCCGAATACTTGAATAATCGATGAAATTTCGTAAAATTGAATTATAAACAAAAAAATTTGAAAATTTTCAAAGAAATTTTTCAGAAATTATTAATAATAATTAATTTAAACTTTATAAAGAAGAATTTTAGTTAAAAATTCCGGAAAACAATAATTGAATTAAAATAATGAAAATATTGAATAAGTTACAGTAACAATATTCTTATAATATAAAATGATGATTTTATCAGTCCAACATTTTTAATTATTATAAAACATGAAGAAATCGATTGCTCCGAGTCGAAGACTCGGAGTGATCGATTTCTTTATGTTTTATAACAATTTTTTATAAGTTGTTTAATTTCAAAGAAGTTAGAATTAAAAATTTTGTAAAATATAAATGTAGTTTTAAAAACCTGGAAAAATTCCATTTTTTAACCTGGAAAACCTGGAAGAGTCAGGAAATTTGAAATGAGCAAAAGCTTGGCGACCCTGAATATAATTCGAAGTTTAAAGAATAAATTTCAACGCTGCGTGTGATAATTTCGAAACTATAAATTTCCACTAATTCAAATCCGGTTGCAATTTGTTTCCCTGAACAATAGTTGTTTTCATTAATGGAATTCTCCCTTGTTTCTCGCCACACACAGCTATATTTATATAAACATATAACGGAATTCTAAATAAATTACATTACCATCATTTTTAATTTTATTTATATCTCATTTTTCTCCATATAATTAGATTAATCGAGAGCAGAATAACATTTTTAACAACAATATATATGTTTCCTTACATCCGGCAAAATATCGCACCGCCACAGTTCTTGAAAAGTGAGCAATTTTTATCGGACATGTCAGTAGATAAATATATTTATAAAAAAGATAATAATCTCGGGGGAAAAAAAATTTCTCTTAATTATATTTTATATACGAATAAGCTTTTTTTTTTACTTCTTCTTCTTCTTCTATTCTTCCTCATTGTTAATGAAAGATAAATGTTGTCAGAAACATACTTCTTGAAAAGATAAATGTGTAATTGAAATAAATTTCCGAGTCTTTATTATAATAATAAAAAGCATAAGCATATATACTGTGTATGAGGGGAAAAAAACTAATTTACCAGAAAATGATATACTACTGAATGAATCAAATTAGTCCAAGGTAAATACAAAACTTGAAAAAGGGAAGAAAAAAAAATATAATGAACCTTTTTCTTTCATCGTCAAACGATTAAGTGTATAATATCACAAGACTGATGTTTTAATTAAAAATTGATTCAACGTGAGCTCAAACTGATAATCAACATATAGACTGGTTTATTACTTTTTTTTCAAATCGTTTTTGCGGAAAAAAAAATTGATTCGTAATGACTATATGTAATAGTTGATTTGCATATAACATCGATGACATGAAGTAGGCACTTTTTTTACCTCGTGGCACCTCGTGGAAATATATACATTTTTGTTGGCAACACGCTTTATGTGTCACACATTACAATGTCTATCGTAATGAGGAAAAATTTACTTTTCTCAATTTAATTTGCATAAATTACAATTAAACTCAATGATATATCGTTTGGATGAAAATTGCTAATAATTTTCACACTAGAAGAATTTTTTTTTTTTTTTTTTTTTTTTTGACAAAGAAAAAACAAATGTTTTTATTTCCGAACCGAAGAAAATTCATCTCTTTGTTTTGATATTACTAATTGTCAACAGAAGATTGTTTATGGACCGCATTTTTATCGTGCGGCTAAATCGATAAAAGCGAATAGAGATGGAGAAAAAAAAATTGATTATAGCGACAATGTGGATGGTCGTAGATATTAATTAATGACACGAAAACCAGTTTTGTAGTTGGAGAAGTCAGGGAGGTGTGTACCAGGCGAAGTTTAATGCGACAGAATTATCTAAGGATTATGCCAGAAGCGTGTAATGTTCGAAGTTAATGTACCTTACAAATGACTCATATATAGAGAGGTCGCGAAGATTTCTCTTGTTGCTTCCTCAAAATTAACTTTGTTGTTAATACACTCCTAAAATTTTGCTCGAACAAATTTATTCAATTTTCAAATAAAATTTATTTATTTATTTTATTTCACTCTTAAAATTTTACAAAAACAAATTTATTCTTTTTGCAAATAAAATTAATTTATTTATTTTATTTCACTCTTAAAATTTTACAAAAACAAATTTATTCTTTTTGCAAATAAAATTAATTAATTTATTTTATTTCACTCATAAAATTTTACAAATACAATTTTTTTTCTATTTACAAATAAAATTAATTCATTTATTTTATTTATAAATAGAACAGGCCTCGAATATTATGATTTTTTCAATTTTTTCGATTTTCAAAAATTGATATACTTTTTTTACTTTTCTTCCAAATATCGCAAAAAAATTTAAAATACCACATTTTTTAATATGAAATGCAACTTATTTCGATTTTTATAGCCTGAAAAATAACTAACAGACAAATCTTTCAAAAATTATTTTTGAACAATTTTTCTAATTAAATTTGCGAAATATACAATTAAAAATATTCTGAGTAATTTAAATTTTATAAAATTCAATTGAAAACAATTTACTTTTTCAAGTATTTTATTACAATTTTTAAAAATTAACTTTTGAAGACTTTTAATGACAAATTTTTGAAAATTTAAATGCAAAAACCCTCGCAAAAACAGTCAAGTGAAAATTTTGAAATTAAAAATGAAAATTCAGAAAAATTATCTTCTAAAAAACTATATTAAAATATTTTTGAAAAAAGTAAAACTTTTTTTTAAAAAAAAAAACTTTTTTTCAAGTATTTTATTACAGTTTTTAAAAATCAATGACAAATTTTTGAAAATTTAAATGCAAAAACCTTCAAGTTAAAAATTTTGAAATTAAAAATGAAAATTCAGAAAAATTAGCTTCTAAAAAATTAAATAAAAATATTTTTAAAAAAGTAATACTTTTAAAAAAAAAAAATGTTTTCAAGTATTTTATTACAATTTTTAAAAATCAACTTTTGAAGAATTTTAATGACAAATTTTGGAAAATTTAAATGCAAAAATCTTCAAGTTACAAATGTTGAAATTGAAAATTAAAATTCAGAAAAATTAGCTTCTAAAAAATTAAATTAAAATATTTTTGAAAAAAGTAATAACTTTTTTCAAAAAAAAAAAAAAAATTCTTTTATTCTAATTTTTTAAAATCTAATTATTTCCAATATTTTCAATGATACATATTCCCGAAAATTCAAAAAAAAATTAATACAAACATTTAAATTTTTTAGAATTTTTAGAAAAGAATAATGTTAAAAATTTTTGAATTAAAATTCTTCAAAAAATTAATTCGTTTTTTTTAAATTACATATACATAAATTCTAATAAATTTGTATTTGCAAATCGATTCGAATGAATGTTTATAAAAAATAATTAATTTTTTTTATAAAATATAATAATTTAATTTTTTTTGTCAAAAAAAAAAAAAAAAAAAATTTGAGAAAAATTCATTTTTGAAAACTAGTTATGTAATTTATTTTCTTTTGCGCCTTTTTGCTACTATGAAGTAGAAATTATTTCTCGTTTTAAATTCTACAGTTTTTTTTTATAATAATGTTAGTTTACATTGTCAAGGTGAGAATAATTATTTTCATATTATTGCTTTCAATGTATATTCATACGCATTTTAACTTCACAAGTCAGACACTCACTTATGCATTTTAATAAATATCAACATTAATAATAATAATAAATAAACGCTGTTGCACTTTTTATAAAAATAAATCATCTTTAAATTTAACATTTAATTGTATTTTAAATTTTTGGCATTTTAAATTGTCGAAATTTCAATACTTTATTTGTCATTGGAAAATAAAACATATTCCAACATAAAATAACATATTTAACATAAAATAAAATGTTTAACATAAAATAAAATACTTAACAAAAAATAAAATGTTTAGCATAAAATAAAATGTTTTACATAAAATATAGAAATAATAAAAATAAACTAAATACGTAGAAAATGAAATACGAAAATAATAAAAATATAAATTAACCCTTTAACGCTCAGCACATTCGATCGAAATCACTTTTACATTCAAATATTCATAACTTGGTCAAAAATTAAAATACTCTTAACTTCTGAACGCCAACAACTCATAAGTTTATTCTGCTATATATAAAAAATCCACAGTGCAATTTTCTAATAATTTTGATATTATAAAATAAAAAAAAATGTTGTACCAAAATTTGTATAAAAATTAATTTTAGGTGCACTGATTACAAATTCGATGTCAATTTTACAAAATTCAAAATGGTGGATCCAATATGGTGGACAAAATCGCATTGTTGTTGAAAAGTTGGACGTTAAAGGGTTAAAATAAAATATTTGCCACATAGAATATTTCAAATTAAATAAAGAAATAATTGAAAATAAAATATGCCATAAAATATTTCAAATAAAATAAAGAAATAATTGAAAATAAAATATGACATAAAATATTTCAAATAAAATGAAAAAATAATTGAAAATAAAATATGACATAAAATATTTAAAATAAAAAGAAAAAAATAATTGAAAATAAAGAAAATGTAAAAAATAATTAATTAAATAAAAAAAATTAAATTAAATTAAATATTTAACATTTAAAATTGAATAATTGAAATAAAATAAGAAAATAAAATAATTTTATTAAAATAAAATTAGAATAATGAAAATAAAGTATAAATGTACGTTATACACCAGTAATATATATGAAACGCAATTCCAGAAAGAAAATATGTGAAATGTTGAATATTCAATTTATTGTGTTATAACAAACTTTGAATATGATTTTTTCAAAAAAGTACTTAGTGAAAAAAATGGAGGGAATCGAGATTAATCTGAAAAATAGATAACAGAGCAAAAAGGCAATTCAAAGTAATTAAAACGTAAGCGAAGCATTGTGTTTACGTTGGCGATAAGTGGGCATCATTAATTATGTTTTTTTTAATTATATCTGTTTTGAAAAAAAGAGGGACCCATTCAATGCTGTAGTTACTGCATAATTAATTTGATAATAATTCCAGATATATTTAAAAGTTACATTTGTTATATTTTTAACACGCACAATAATTTTAATATTTCCATTTTCAAAATCACTCGCTTTCAAGTTCATTTTTATTATTTTCTTTTTAGGTTTTTCCCTTTAGATTTTCCCTTTTAATGCTCAACCATTTTTGAACTGTTCATCTAATCAAATGAATAATTTTTAAAAATATAGTTTAAACTCTGTAAAATAAGCCTGTATGAAAATCCTTATAAAAAATATTAAACAATAGATAAAAAGTTTTTTTTGGAAAAAAACGTGGGGTCAGAATGATTTGAATTATTAAAACTTTTCGAAATTCTTTTTAATTTTTTTTGATTGAGAAGAAAATTAATTTTTTTGTTTTTTTGTAAATATTTTTCAGAGGACGTTCGAGCGCCGTTGAATATTGTTGCGACAGCAACGGTCGTAACGAACGAGGCACTTTTAGACGATGACGAGGGTGAAGAAGGAATTGGAGAGGGCGAAAGTGAAGGAACTGAGAAATCTGCAAATGAGGAAGACGAGGAGGTTGATGTTGATGTTGAGGAATGTAGTAGTGTTGAAGAGGGACCGGTTAGTTTTGTCGATGATCTCTCAAGCCGGAAGTACCAGAATGGCAATGATGTTGAGAGGAAGCATCGACGAAGAACAACCTGTAATTCCGACGAATTAAGGGATGTTGAATGTCATCTTGAGACTAAGGAACTTTGGGACAAGTTCAATGACCTTGGCACCGAGATGATCATTACAAAAACCGGCAGGTAAGTCCTTTCATATCACGCAACACATATCCAAGCACCTAATAACACACCCCGATTATTGCAAAGTATATACGCACACACGCTTTTTTCATTTTTTATCAACTCTCCTGTCCTCTTTTTATTTTTTTCTTCTATCCTCGCTTCTTCAAAAAAAAAAAAAACAACAAAGTCCAAAGAATTTCAAGAATATGGAATTATTTTCAATAGCTTTCAATATGTTATTATGTTTTGATACTAAATCGAACGTTTTTATTCAGTTTAAAATTTTTAATATTTCATAGTTGTTAATGAATGCTAATCAATAAAAATTATGATTCAAAGTTCTCTTCTAAATTCAAGTTTTCCACTGATCAGGAAATTCAGAAAAAAGTAGAATTGATCAGGAAATCAGGAAAAAGTCAACGATTTTTAATAAAAGTACTGGAAAAAATTAAATTTTTAGAATTCATAAGAAAATTGAGAATTTTGGTGTCATTTTTATGTTTACTTCATAAAATATATGAAATTACCGCACGAATTCTAATTCAAAACCTTCAATTTCTTCTATTTCCGACAATAATTTCTTTTTAAATAACTTAATTCTTGAAAAACTATCAGGAGATTATTATTTATAAATTTTTTAAATAATAATTTTCCTTTAATATAAAATTTGTCAAGAAAATTCAATTATTTAAAAAATTTAATAAAATTCGTCTGCAAGAATTCAAATATTTATATTTAAAATTCTTTGTAAGAAATCAATTATTTTCTCAAATTTTGTTTTGTTTATAAGAATTAAATTATTTTCATAAATAATAAAATTCACGCAAGAATTCAATTTTTTTCCATAGAATTTGAATTAAATTATTCAAAATAATTGAATTATTCTTTTAAATTTTTATAGAATAATTCAAAAAATCTAAATTATTTTCAAAAATTTTTAATAAAATCCTTCGTAAAAATTCAATTATTTTTAGAAATAATAAAATTTTTTCCAGGAATTTAATTATTTAAAAAAAATTTTTAAAAATCGTTGCTAGAATTAAATTATTTTTATAATTAATAAAATTCTTCACACACACTAAAAAAAAAGTTTTACTTTCAGCCTCTTTTTGAGGCTGAATTTATGATGTAAACGGAGTCAGCCCCGTTAAACAAGGACAGACTTATGTGAAATACATGGGCTGAATTTAAGGTGTAAACGGAGTCAGACTTTTTTTTCCTGTGCAGGATTTCAATTATTTTTAATATAATTTTAAATAAATTTCTTGAAAAATGGAATTAATATCAAAAATTTTAATAAAATTATTTGAAAGAAACCAATTTTTTTCAAAAATCTCAACAAAAATTAAATTGTTTTCTTAAATAATAAAATTAATCTGAAGAATTCAATTATTTTTAATACATTTTAATTAAATTATTCTTTTAAATTTTCAAAAAAGGAGAATAAAAAAAATTAAATTGTTTACAAAAGTTGCAGTAAAATCTATCGCAAGAATTCAATTATTTTTATTTTTACAAATAATAAAATTTTCCCCAGGAATTCAATAATTTAAAAAAATTCAATAAAGTTCGTCCGAAATATGAATTTCAGTTAAAATTTTAAGTAATAATAATTGATTTAAGGAAGAATTTTAGATAAAAATTGTATATAGTTAATAATTTTTCGAGGAAAACAGAAGATTCTTTATGGGTTCAAGAAAAAGTCATAATTTTGTCTGGAAATCAGGGAAAAGTCAGGTAAAAACAAAATTAAATTTCTGTGGTAACCATGAAATTCTCCAAATGATGTATATCGAAAGTTTTGTAAATGGAAATTTTGTAAATCAAAATTTTGTAAAACAAAGTTTTGTCTACCAATGTTTCAGACACCTTCGAATTTACAACAAAAGAGAATACAATATCAAAACAAATCGATTTATATAAAATCCAACGAAACTAAAACTCCTCCCATTCGACCGCCTTGAAAATTGATTAACCCATAAAAAAACCTAAACGAAAAGAAATTAATTTGATCTTATCCTTAAGGAAGTGAGCCCATTCTTTTTTTTTTTGGTAGAACTGTTGACGTTCACGCTTGGGTTAGCAATAGCCAAAAAGAAGATAAATGACCCAAAAAAGGAAAGAAAAAAAAAAGAAAAAAAGCAAGACGCGGACCACGCCTTTTATGATAAATGACCACTGGACAATTAAAACCCGCTGCCGAGTATCAGCGCGTTCACTTGAACTTTTACGAGATATTTAAGGGAGTCCTAGATATAATTTATAATCCCCCATTACGTACACCAATGTTGGTATATCGTGTCCATTTTTATAGGTATGCTAATAAAGTTCAAGCCGCAGCTGCACGCCCGACTCTCCTATATGCGTGACCGCGCGTCAAAATTATGAGATATATGTAAACCGAATAATATTTTTATATTAATATAACAATCCTAACAAATAATATATAATCGATTACAAAATGCGACCTTGAAAAATTACTTTCACTTTGGTTGCCACAAGCATTTTAGTTTCATATATATACGTTCGCGAGTTTAAAACCCTTTTTTTTGTATAAATTATTACCTATATGTAATTTCGCCTTCTGTAATTGGTTTTTAGGCGTCAATATTAACGGTTCGCCTCATCAAAAGCAGTAGCCTCGACGATTATGAAGTTAATTATCAGGAAGCGACTGTATTTTTTTTTTTTTTTTTTTGTTGAATACCGTTCGCCAAACCATTATAATGATTAATTGCCTTTAGTGTCAGTGCCCACGTGGGATTGTAGGTAATGAAATTTTTCCCTTTTGTTATAACTTACTTGGAAACATTTGCAAACATGGTCTGAATTAAAATGGAAAATAAATCTGTTTCCCTAACTTAATACTTTATTTATTAAATCTACATGTCATTACTTGACCCCATGACAAATCTATTTCCTCGGGACGCTTACACTAATTATTATAATAGATCGACTTGATGCTTTCCGAAGCCTTACGCATCTATTTTTTCATCCCTAATTCTTACAGATGATAGAATTTTTAATTTAGAAAATCAATTGGGAAAAGTTTTGCATAACCTAATTTTTATTTGAAATATTTCTTCTACCGAACATAAAACCTATTTTCCTTTTCCTCAACTCTGTATTTACGTATAAAGAACAACCCAAAGAGAATATACATACAGAAGACGTGCCATTCCGAACAAAAATAGGCTCTATAACAATGAATAGAGAATATTTGAACATTTCCGATTTCGGAGATAATAATGTAAAAATGAAAATCAACAAGGTCTCGTTTTTAAAATTGGCTTTGTTCGTTATGGATATAAAAATTGAGGCCAAGTTCTGTATTAAGAAGGGATCGCAGAGAGAAAAAGAGAGTCAAAAAGGCAAAGAGAGCTAGCTGGTGTGGCAAAAGGCGGGTACAACTACACACCAACGTGGGAAAAATGAATCGAGAAAGAGAAACGAGTCCTTGAAGAGCGCCAGGACACTATCCTGACCCCCCGATGGGACATACAATTCCACCTGATTGGTCCGAATTCGTATTGTCGCCCAAGACTGACAGTTTGTTAAGCGGGGAATGAATTTTTATACAGGCACAAAAATATATTATATTCAATATGTGTGTGTGTGTGTATATGCTAACGATCCCATTCGTTTCTCTCCGCGTCGCGAGATATTATCGATCTTAAACAGCTTCTCCAATTCCATTCAAATCTAGACGAAAACTATATCAAGTTCTTTCTTTATTCGAAAATCGATCAATAACATGCGGTAAATTGATACATCATAGAGTTGATACTTTGAAAAAGTGAACAAGAGCAGAACAAATTACTGAATAGTTTACCAAACACACACTACTTTTATTCAAATTATATTATACTCGCCCGGCGGGAAAATAAATACGAGCTAATCTGAAATCTAACAGTTTGCTTCTTGGTGATTCTTATCCAACTTTTGTATAGATACTACTTGTTCTGATTAAAATTAAAAAACCAATGTTTGTTATATAAAAATAAAAAGCAAAAGTATTTTGTTAAGGATGGTAATTTTTTTGCCATTCAATGTTTAATTTCAAAAAAGTCGCAATCCGAAAATTAAACTTGAAGACTAAAAAATTCGTTTTAGTCCAAAAAAGCATATAGGTTTTAGTATGTAGATGAGTGTGAAGCCTTTAAGAAGAAAAGTATATGCAATTTCCCCAAATTCTCGAATAATTATACTTTTTATACTTTCCCATTGAATTAAGAACCGGAAGCATTAGAGTTGAAATCGATTTCTCCCAAAAGCTATAAAAAGCTAGTATCTGAAAATCTTAGCATAGTTTCACTTTAGAAATTGCACTCACACCGTCTATAAATATAAGGTAGGCGTGAATTGCAAGTTAAAAAGTTGTTGCTGAGGCCTTCCACGTACCGACTTGACAAGAACTGTGAACTTCACCGAGGTGCGGACGAGCAGGTCAGGAGAGACAGGATACAGCGGATACCGCGTATAGTCGTCACGCGAACCCTTCATCAGCAGCAGCGCAAGCAACCTATATTATACACCAACACGTGCTAATGTGCGGGGTAAATGTGCACGAAAACGTTCGTGTTTGGACACTGACACTTATGTGAGCTTCACTTTTCTTATATGAGAGCGAGGATGAGAGAAATATATGCGCTATAGCAACTTAAAGAGAGAGAGAGAGAGAGAAAAATATGTATATAATATTGCCTCGCATAATTATTATAGTGACACCACCTGGTAGGGTTGTGGAGTCGTTAGCTCGGTAAACAGTTAAGTAACTCAGATGGTTACACGGGATTATTACTATAATATTCACTCTACTTCCATAATTCATTTGTTTGTCTTTCCTTTTCTCTTCATTCCTTCGACCATATCACTCGCTCCTTAATTTAGGATTCCTGCAAATAATTTTTCTCTACTCGAAAAGAAAGAAATTTTCGTAATTTTAACTTCCTCTATACCAAGAATAATTTTTACTGTTTTTTTTACTGTTTCACTATTAACTTATTGAAAGTATCAAA